CATCCACAGGGGGGTGGTTCAAAGGGCCCCATTCTGTGGGTGCTGAAATATGTAGGTTATACCACACACTATTATAATAGGGAGGGGACGTGGTAGCACTGCACATTAAAGCGCAGGAGCCTCTGTGCTGCAGGGTCAGAAGACCAGCAGTCTTAAGATCGAATCCACGCGACGGAGTGAGCTCCCATCGCTTGTCCCAGCTCCCGTCAACCTAGCAGTTCGAAAGCATGTAAAAATGCAAGTAGATAAATAGGTACCAGCTTGGTGGGAAGGTAACAGCATTCCGTGTCTAGTCGCGTTGGTCACGTGACCACAGAAACTGTCCTTATACAAACACTGGCTCTATGGATTGGAAACGGGGAAGAGCACCACACCCGAGTCGGACATGACTGGGCTAAATGTCAAGGGGAACCTTTACCTATTATAATAGGGAACACAATACAAAGTATGGTATCTGGCTCCCTCTGGGGCCAGATCGGATAATGACATCATAGAAATATATTTTTCTAGTGGATGTTATACATAGCATGGTCTCTGACTCACTCCAGTGGCCAGTTCTGGTAAGTTCATTGTTAGAAAGTTTGGCGATTTATCTTTTAATATATTTAATATCTTCAGTTTGTGGATAAATGAATCAGCAGGTATAGATCCCACAGATAAGGGGGTCCTACTCTGGTTTTTAATCTCTTCCTTCTTAATCATTGCGTACCGCATAGTTTCAGCCATGGGTCTGCAAGGGAAGAGCTACTGCTCATGTACAAGCAATATATGTAAGCAAGTCTGAACTTTGCAGGAGGTATTAAAGGCACTCAACCTCTTCTGTGGATAAGCTTCAGCACCATGGATAACTCCCACTGAAAAATATTCATTCTGCCATCAGTGCAACTATTGGTGATTACTGAATTTAGTATGAGTGGGGAATCTCTTTCAATGGGAGCTCTCCATGGTGCTGAACCCTATCCACAGAAGTGGTTGAGTGCCTTGCATACTTGCTTTAAAGTTCAGATTTGCTTATACATACAGTAAGACTCCAATATCCATTGGGGATCGGTTTCAATCCCTCTCAGATATTGAAAACTGCAGATAATAGAGAACATAATATATAGCATGAAAAAAGGAGGAAAAGATAGAAAAAATATTTTCATATACATTAGCAGACCTGGTCACTAGAGGGTGCTAGAGACCAGGTTATCTATTCTTCACTAACAAATATTCATAGCACAGTCTCTAGCTCCCTCTAGCTGCCAGTTCTGGTAATACATGTGAAAATAGTTTTTCTACATTATTTTAATGTTTTCAGACTATGGGTAAATAAAACTGCAGATACTGATCCTGTGGATATGGGGGTCCTATTGTACTGCTTGTGCCTCAGCACAATAGATTCAATAGAGTGTCTTTTAGGGTTGGTCGTACCATTAGATAGAGAAAATGCACTGGCTGTGCCTGCTGACCCATCATTCACCACCTAACCTAGCATTCTCCTTCAGGGATAATGGGTGACATTGTCCCCTCACCAGGGTTGAATGGAGAGTCTTTCTTCTCTGCCTTGATCAAAATGGATGTGTTATTCTGAAAACAGCAAAAAAAAGTTTCTGAAACTTGATTCACTCATGGATTCGTTAATTAGTTCCTGTAGAACTTTTTTTTAACAAAAAAATCTATTTGAAATCATTTTGAAAACATTCAGTACTAAGGCAAAGGAATGAGAACCATTGATCGTTCCACAAAATAATAGCATGGGCATTTAACGATGAAAGTAACAAATGTTAGATTAGTTTTTAATCCATGTGGGATAATGCAATAAATAAATAAATGTGAATGAAGCCTTTCCAAGCTGTGCACTTAGTAGCTGACTGCTTCTGAGCCCATGACTTGAGTTGCAAGGATCAGCAGCATTGCATTCCTTGCGATCTCAGGACTAAAACCAGAGACCTAGGGGCATAGCCATAGGATGTCATAAGGGAGGACACTTGTAATGTCACAGGATGAGTCCTTGCCATGACATAGAAATGGGACTGGCCAGCATAAAGAAGGAAGTGAATGCGAACCATTTGTGAACGCCTTTGTGTTGATCCAACAGACCCCCTTTCTCACTGGGAATGGACAGCCAAGGGTACCTGGTCTTGAAAGATATCTCTCATGCACCTTTTTTGACCTTTTTCATTGCTATTCACTCTAAAACGTGTCTCCCCTTGGAACAGCAAAGCAATTTCTAGAAATTTCACCTGTTGTTCTAGAGACTTGGGACTGCTATCAATGGGAGCCGTCTTTCCTGGAGATCATTTATGGGTGCATGGCCTTCCATGGCCTGTGGTAGAAGGAGCATGATCATGGTTTCATAAATATGGAGGTGACACCAGGGTTCCCCTCATAGCTTTTGGATCCTGGCTGTGCTCTGAAGTTCTTACCACCACACAAGACTGTGCAACAGCTACCATTAGCAGGGCAGTCTGTTCCCTAGTTTGCATTTCGTGGGTCAATGCAGTAGTCGTTCTGTCATCCTTCGCCAGATGTATCTTATAGTGGCTGCTTGGTTCCTCAGGACATTAGTAGACAGGTCTGAGGGGGGGCTAAAATGTTATCCCCAGCTGTGTTTTTTCAACATGCTGAACCCAAGAGTCTTAGTGCCTCTCCCTCTAAAACCCAGACCCAACACTTGAATGGATTCATTAGCCCCAGTAGATTGAAGTCACCCATCTCCAGTGGGGGGGGTGTGAGGGGATTAGGTAGACTCTGTCTTTGTTTTGGCAGCTGGGGGGCGGGAAGGATCTAGTGGGACTTCCCCTATGCTTATCCTTCTGCAAAGCCACTGGCAGAAGATGTTTCCAAATGCAAAGAGGTTGCTCCCCTCCCTGTGATACCAGTACCGGCCAGGGATGATGGCAGGGATAAAGAAACACATCTCGAGGTCACAAAACCAATGTTCATCCCAGTGAAGATGCCAATAACACACAGGACTGCCCTTTCTGCAGAACACAACTCCAGGGAGGACTGGTGGACACCTTCTAGACTGCTGATGACTTCAATTCGTGTGTGTATGGAGGGGTGGAGGGAGGATCTGTGGATCCACTCTGGATTTTAGTGTGCACTTTCCAAGAGTGATCCAAAGTGCTGAAGCTATTTTGGAAGAGGGTTCCGTGCCCAAGGACCTCCTAGAAAGTGCAAACGAAAATCCACAGTGGTTTCTCGAACCTCCCCACTAATGGGTGTCAACAGGGTCCTCTCTTTCTAAATGTAAAAGAGCAATGAGATAGCCCCTTCCCCAAAAGCCCAGATGGCACGTAAGAAAATCCACCAGAATAGTCTATGGTGTTATGTGGTTTTGCGATATAATTTTTAGAAACTGGGCAGCAGATTAGCTGGCGTGGTTTCCATGCTTGTGGAAGTACTGTTGATTTCTCAATGAATAATTGTGTTGTCAAGCCAATTATGACTTATGGTGACCCTTTTCAAGGTTCCCCAAGTACAGAATCCACAGAAGTGCTTTACCCTTCCCTTCCACTAGGGGCGCTGTGGGACTGTGCAGCTTGCCCAAGGCCACCCAGGCTGGCTCTTCCCCCCAGGAGGTCCAATGGAGGAATCAAACTCCCAACCTCTGGCCTGATAGCTAAACCACTGAGCTCTCCAGCCAGCGCGAAGGGAGGGGAAAATGAGGAGCTCTCCCAAACCTCACCTGTATCTTCTCCTCACCCCACCCCATGTTTTAGCCAAAGCATGAGGCTTCTCCACCCCATCATCCCACTCCATATACTTTTTTTAAAAAAGTTACATAGTCATGATTAAAGATGGATACAGAAATGCATACGTATTTATCACCCCCTTTCCCATATTTCAAGCAGGGATACAAAGTTTTAAAAATAAATGAAGTTAGTATTTTTCTCTTTGTTCTTCCTATGATTAATGTCAATGGGTACTGCTGCTGTTTAAAGTTCACCCAGCTGGTCACCAAAGGTGAACATCATGGTGGAAAACAATGTAATACAAGGGGGAGTTCTGAACGTAAAAATTGCAATTAAAAAAGAATGCACCATACAGTCTCCCTATAGCTATTTGTAATCTGCATGAAAGCAACAGACACAGATTTGATTTAAAAAAAATAAAGGAGGGAAAAGCGTACAGGAAAAAAAAGGTTTTTTTAAAGGTGTAAGCTACCTTTCTTCTCCTCCTGCGAGAGTGAGGGGTTCCTTTGACTGGACTTCTGTAAAATCATAAAAAAACCTGCAAGCTTTCACATAGAGAAAAAAAATCACTTTCTCAGCCCCTTCCTGGAGAGTGTGAAAAGAAATGATAGACAAATGTCCAAAGATGGGTGTTACGTGTCTGGGAGGTGAACCAGCCAACGTCAAACTTGCAATTTGTATGATTTTATAGTGGTCCGATCAGAGGGATCACCCACCCTTCCTTTCGTGTATTCTTGAGGACCCCATGTCCTTTCCCTTCTTGCTTCTTACCCTCTTGATAAAATTGCTTAAAAAGACTGGCATGATAATTGAAGAGTTTTTTTTTAAAAAAGCCACAAAACGTCTTGTATCCTTTCATCCTCTCCCCTCTATGGCTGTCACAACTTAATTTGTCATTTCCAATAGATTGACATTTTTTCCCACCCTGCTTTCCTCTTCTGCTCCCCCTTTTCTGACCCCTTCCCCCTGATCCTTATAGGCAGATCTAGGAATGTTTCCCCCTTTTTTTTGATTTCTGGAATCTCAGAAGCCATCCTGATTACAGGAGAGCTCCTAGAATTACCCCCAAGCCAGTCCAACCGAGGGCTTTCATCTCATACAATCCTCCCCGCCAGGAACAGGGGATTCTGGGAGTTGTGATTCCCTTTAAAGAAAAAAAAAAGGAGGAAATTTTCCAAGTTCTGATGATAGAGTTGATTTACTTCTCTAGATTTTTCCTTTCTTTGTTTTTTTTTCTTTCTTTTCTCTCTTTTTTATTCCTTTTTTTGTTTTTTGTTTTTTGTTTTTTTTGCTTTCCTTTTCATTCTAACTTAAGTTCATTTTATTATGTGGTGACCACAGTTATGGATGACGCACCCCCTGGCACACAGGAGTATATTATGTTACGGCAAGATTCCATCCAATCTACGGAATTAAAGAAAAAAGAATCCCCCTTTCGTGCTAAGTGTCATGAAATCTTCTGTTGTCCATTGAAGCAAGTTCACCTCAAAGAGAACGCAGAACCCGAAGGTTTGTGCTCTGCCCGATCCATGTCTGTTTCTTTTCTTTTTCCCGTTTGCCCTTCTATCCCCCCCCCCTCCCCGGATTGATTTCTTTGGTTTGTTTATTGATTTATTTTGGAGCTCCCCTGCCTGTCCTATGGATTGTGTCTTGTGTCTTCTTTGGCCTGTGTCTTAATATAATGCAACCGGGATGCAAAGAGCTGCTTGAGATTTTGATAAAGTCACCCTTTGCTTGCTTAATTAATGTCTGGTAGAGTTGGCCACAGAGATCCGCCATTGACAACAGGACGTGGTGATAATAACACTACTTTTTTCCCCCTCCTCTACACCTTAGCAAAGACAACAATTCCATTCTGATCATTACATTCATACTTCTTGGCTGTCAAAACAAATAATAATAATGCTTGCTTAATAACTGCCCATTCTTTCATACACTCCCACCCACCCCCTTGCGACCCCTTTCTCTTCCATGTATCCAATACATTGCCATTCATCTTAATCTTTCCTCATGGGAATAAATACAACCTTGCCTTAGAAACTGGATTCTAGGACCCTCCAAAGCTTCATTTACAGCTTTTGCCCATTGCTTCCCAATAGAAACACCAATAAATAAACCCACTGCTGAGAAACACCGTAGTTTGCCCGATGCAGGGGACAATGAATGTCATGCACGCATGATTGCATTTTGGAGAAATTCTGTGCATGCCATAGAGCAATTGTTAAGCGGAATGCTTCGTTTTTGCTTTCCAGAGATGATGGTCAAGGTATGGGTAATCACCTGCTTGCTTATATCCCTAGAAATTGTTAACGAGGAAAACTTGTTTTGTTTTTAGACTGTTTGTTTAGTATATGGGAGTATACATGAGATTAAACCCTCTTTTCCCCCAGACAGCCTAACTGCTGACATTCTGTAATGCTTTCTTTTATATGTTTTCCACTCCTGCCTCAATTCCTATCTGGTAAGACCTTGCACGTTTTCCATGAGCTTCCATTTCTGGTAAAATGGCAGATTGCTCTTCCTGTGTTTCTTTAAAGAAATTAATGTCTGCGGTTCTAAATATTTAGGACCACACTCTCTATGAAAGAGGTTTGTCTGATGAAACAAGTATGGGGGGGTGGGGAAATGGGTCTGGGATCACGCCGTTGCCGTCGCCATAATCCAAACAACCATGTTCTTTAAATTCACAGGATATGTCCTTTGTAAATAAGCACACAAAACCACAATTGCATGTCCGTGCAATTGAAATCAGTATGAAATGTTAATCATAATTAGTATGAGTCACATTTTGGTCAACCTGGACCGGAATCCATCTGTCACTTCGATTGTTTGCATATATATTTATATATATGTAAAGAAAGAAAGAATATTGTGATGCATTACATACTAACTAGTTTTGGTGTGACTCAAGATTTTATGAAGCCCTGCCTCCAAAAGACTGTGTCATAGTAAAACTGGTTGATGGAGGCACGGAACCCGTAGCTAACACACTCAGTCTATAATCACACACCCATCCATGGCAGTGAATCCCCTGCCGGTTTTCATCCGAACTTTACAAGAGTCATCCAAGATGCTGAAGCCTGTTCCCAGGTAGGTGCAGCATCTCATATAGCTCCTTTCAAACTCATCATAAGTGGGTTCAATGCCTGTCCCACCCCAACATTAAGAGTCATCTCCACAGACAAGTTGGTTTGTGGAGGCTGCCTCTGTACCATGATGGTTTTATTTCTTGTTCAAATAGGAAAGTAAGATTCAGTTTCTTCTGTGTTATGGGTTGTAAGAGAAATAGAGTTTCAAGACACTTCTCAATAAACACACACTATTGACCTGTCTTCGCACATGTTTGTCTTGGATTGAATTTCTTCAAATGTTGATCCTTTATTAATGAGGTATTAGAGTATTATCCGCTTCACCTTTGTGAAAGCAACTGAATGAAAACTAATCGTGGCAGGGTGATTTTTTTTCCCTCCACACACTGATGCTAAATTTAATTTCACTGGTGTGCGTCTGTAGCATGAATGCAGAGACTTTGGTTGAGATTTGAGCCAGCTGTTGAACGAAACCCAAAAAAGTTCGCATTGCTGATTTTTTTTTAACTGTCGTGCATTCTAAAGTGATTGCTACAGGGTTTGGTTTTACAGGATCAAAACATGTTTCTGAAATGCCATTTGTGGCCATGGGAGAAGGAAGTCAAGTGAATTGGCCAGTAGCTGAAGCCTCTTCTAGGTTGCCTCTGGAAGTCCTGGTGGCTTTGGAGGACGTTGGGTCATCGTTCTGTTCTGTGCCTTTTCACAGGTTGGAACGTCCAAAAACTTTCCCACTGCTTCCACTCCTGTTGCCATTTTTAACTCTTGTCCATCAAAATTTTGAAGAAATGATGCTTGTGTTGAGTGACGTCTGGGGTTATTGTAAGACGACATGGAAATCTCAGTGTATGGAGGCTTGCTAAGGAGATTGGGATGATGAAGTTATGATTAGAGATGGGGACAGGGTTGAGGATGGGGTGAGGGCTATAATGATAATCTAAGACCTGCAGAGATGGGACCCCTCTAGATCATCAAGTCCGGACCCTGTCAAAGAGGCACAGTGGGGAATTGAACTCTCAGCTTCTGGTTCCACAGCCAGATTCCTTAAACCTCTGAGTTTTCCAGCAGTTCTTTGGTCAAGACCAGCTTAGGGTAAGGCTTAACATTAGAGTCCATCATATTGAGAGGTGGAAACTTTTCCCCAATACCAAAATGCTGTAAATTAGTAAGATAAATTGATGCCCTAGGTGTGTGTGTATGTTTTCAAAGAATCAGGAGGGAGAAAACTGCATGTGGCAGAGATGTCTTTTACAAGCTCTTCAGATAATCACATCATGGAATAGCTCTCGTTTTGTGTGAAGCCTGTGATGAAGCATTTCAAAACCCTGTGTCAGTAAAATTGCCTGAATGATTTTTAAAAATTCTTAGAGATGGGGTTTGTTCCCACAATTATAAATTGTTGACTATTTAAATAGAGCTTTTAAGTTATTTTGTTCATGAGATTTCTTTCAAGCTTTTGGCTGTTCTCCTGGTGGTGACCTTCTCCTGAATCCACACAGTAAGATTTCTGTATGTTGGTCAGTATGACTGTAAAATAAAGACATTTGGGTGGTAATTATCATGTGATTTACATTGAGCCAGATCCAACTGTATCTTTCCACACCCCTGGCTCTTGTATGAAGGGAAATGAATGCATGCCATATGGCTCACCAGCACCTTCAAATGTCTGTATGGGAGCTGAAAATGTTATTATTATTCAAAAACACCAGACACAGTCAATCAAAACATTGACTGGAATTATATACAGATATAAGTTTTAACCAAGAACCTAAGTATCAGTTAAATATCGGCACAGTATTATGCTGTTCCTAATATTGCCCTAATTTTTTTGTAGCTCTTAAGGTGTGATTTCTGAGATCTCCAACTGCTTATAGTACTGTGTGTACTGGTCATTATGCAAAAAAATAAAACTTGCCAAAAAAAACAGTGGGAGCATCAGGTGAAGAAGGTGTCAGAAAATGAGGATGTCAAAATCTTGTGGGATTTCCAGATCCAAACAGATAGACATCTTCAACATAACACACCAGACGTAGTAGTAATAAAACAAACAAATGTCTGGATAATCAACACTGCAATTCCAGGGGATGCCAGAGTTGAAAATAAACAATTTGAAAAACTAACAAAATACAGAGACCTGGCAATTGAAATATCTCACTTGTACATGAAACACACCTCAATGTTCCCTGTAGTCATTGGGGCTTTGGGAAGAATATCAAGAAACTTCACACGGTATTATACGTAAGCAGCTGCAGATCACACCATCAGAGTTACAGATAACAGCAATATTAGGAACAACGTATATACTGTGCCGATATTTAAGAGATACTTAGGTTTTTTGTTAAAACTTGTATCTGTTATATAATGCCAGTTGATGTTTTTATAATGTTGACTGTGCCTGGTGTTTTTGAATAAGAAGAATAAGAAGAATATGCCATCATCAAGCAGGGTTTTCCAAGTAGAGAATACTGAGAAATGGTTTTCCCTTCCCTTCCCCAAAGGGACACCCTGAGACTGTATGCAGCTTCCTCAAGGCTACACAGGCTGGCTCTTCTCTGTGGAGGCCCATTGGGGAAATGAACTCCCAACCTCTGGCTTTGTAGCCAGATGCCTTCACCACAGAGCTGTCCAGCTACAGGAACTGAAGAATAGGATAATTACTTTTAAAAGTAAAAAGGAGGAAAGGGATGAATTGAAGGTAACTACAGTGGTGCCTTGCTTAACGACGATAATCCGTTCCAGGAAAATCGCTGTTAAGCGAAAACATCGCAAAGTGAAAATAAAAAACCCCATTGAAACGCATTGAAGCCCGTTCAATGCGTTCCAATGGGGTAAAAACTCACCATCCAGTGAAGATCCTCCATACTGCGGCCATTTTCGCTGCCTGTATAGCGAGGAATCTGTCCCTAAACACAGCGAGGAGCCATTTTAATTACACTGTGGCCATTTTGAAACCACCAATCAGCTGCTTAAAAAACATTGTTTTGTGAAGAATCGGTTCTCGAAGCAGGGAACCGATCATCGCAAAGCAAAATTCCCCCATTTAGACCATCGTTTTGCGATCGCAATTGCGATAGCAAAAAGATCATTGTAAAGCGGATTTGTCGTAATGCGGGGCAATTGTAAAGCGAGGCACCACTGTACTCTGTTTCTATTCTGATTATTCTCTTCATGCGACAGGTCATTTTGTTGAGCAGGTAGCAAGAACTGTTACTTCACACCTTAATCTCCCTCCCCCTTGGAATATTTGTGAAATTGATCTTGAAATGGGCACGAAACAAATGCATGCACTTTTCCTTTTCCTGAAATTTAAGAAATTCTTCTTAATAAAGACCTTGCTCTCCAGCCTTTAAACCCTAGAGGATATCCTTGAGCTCACAAGCTCCATTTCGGTGATATATTTCATCATTACAGAATTTTTCCAGA